TATTCAACTATCATTTTTTAAAATAGTGTTTTCCATGATATTTAATGACATAGAGAAAATGCTAACAATTTCATGTTAAGGGAAAATAGGATAAAAGTTAGATGTTTAATCTAATCCTAATTTTGCAGAAATACACACCCAAGAAAAAGTTATGAGAAAAATATATAAAAATATTAATAATGGTTATTTTAGGGTGGTAAGATTCTAGGTGACATATTCTTTTTTCTTGTCACTGACTTGAAGCTTATATGAAACTTTTATATTCCAAAGTTTATAATACATATGAATTATTCTTACAAGCAGAAGTAAATATAAAAATCTATAAAAATACAAGCACCTGAAAGCTTGTTCTCTAAGTCCCACTCTCCAGCATTATAAATTACAAAGAGATAAATCACTTGAGAGGTAACAGACTTTCCTTGTTATGCCAAGTAACCTGACAGATCTAAGTCTCAGTTTTCTCACCTATAAAGTGGGAAAATAGCTAAAGACCCCCTTTTTTATTTTGAGACAGAGTCTCATCCTGTTGCCAGTTGGAGTACAGTGGTGAGATCTTGACTCACTGCAACCTACATCTCCCTGGTTCAAGCAGTTCTCCTGTCTCAGCCTCCTGAGTAGCTGGGATTACAGGCATGCGCCACTTCACCCAGATAATTTTTGTATTTTTAGTGGAGATGGGGTTTCGCCATGTTGGCTATGCTGGTCTCTAACTCCTGACATCAGGTGATCCGCCCTCCTCAGCCTCCCAAAGTGCTGGGATTACAGGCGTAAGCCACTGCGCCCGGACACTACTGCCCTTTTTTACTTCATAAACGGACTGTGAAGACCAAGGGTGGTTAGAAAGAGGGATACTGCTGACTTTAAAAGAAAACACAGTGGTGATTCAAGGAAGGGCAGGGTTACCGGTGGCAGTAATAGTTGAGATCTGACATCAAGTCATAGTAATAATGTGAACTTTGTTAGCTGCCTTCATCCACAACAGTTTATATGCTGGTAGGAGTGGTAATTAGATAACTCATACTGTTGAAGCTGTAGGGTTTTGTTGATGTTGTTTATCATTTTTTTATGTGTCTATGGTGTACATGATGTTTCAAAATACATATACATTGTGGCATGGCTAACTTAAGTAAATTAACATATGTAATACCCCACATACTTATCATTTAACTGTGATGAGAAGACTTAAAATCTCTCAGAAGTTTTCAAGTATACAAAACATTGCTATCCACAGTAATCACCATGTTGCACAATTAGATCTCTTGAAATCATTCCCCCTAACTGAATTTTTGTATCCTTGGACCGACATCATCCTGATCCATGCCTCCTTCCTATTCCCTGTAGTTTTTTTCCAGCAGGGTTTTCCTCTTTGGAATTTTCGTATCTCAAATTTCAGACTGTTAAATTAAGCCCCTTTTTTGAACATTCATGAAATAATGTCATGTGCCAGGAAAATCCACCAGATGGCGCTAGATCATTTAAAGAGTCACCACTTGGTCTCTCCATCGCAAAATCACCAAGATTGATGTCAGAGTATTGGAACTAGGTCCAGGTTGGAGGAAAAGAAAATCCATTGCACATTAATTGCGATGCTGGGCCAACATTTCAGTAAATAACCTTTTTTTGTCCTCCTTGGCTTTTACTTTAGTCCCTCTGCTTTTTTAGTATGTGTGTTTATGCACTTCCTTTTATTTCTTTTAAATCAGTTAGGGTTGTTCAGATTAGAATACTTAAGAAGCTTGAAACCGCTGACTTGCCTTTAGAGTTGCCATAGACACACATGCATGTGGTACAGAGGCTGCCCTTCTCTCTGGAAAGCTTTCGAATGAATTTAGAAATAAAAATAAGGCTCGTGGTGTTTTCAGAACAGAGGGTAAAGTTTCTACTTTTGTTGAGGCTTTCAGTTCTTGTGCCATTGAACCTCAATTTCCAGCCTGCAGACACACCTACATTAGGGGAAGATGTGCTGGGCTTATAGTGCTTCTCTATACCTTTCCCATTTCCAAGGCTGTCCAGGGACTGGCAAGAAAAGGAGTGGGCATGAGTGTTGGGTAGTCAGAGAGCTCATTTAGGCTGGAGGGGCTCTGCTGTGCCCTGGACTCTGGGCACAGCCTGGCTGTGGACATGCTGTGGACAGCATGGCATGGGGGTATGTGCACATGCAATTATGAGCTCAGGGGTCAGAAGATCTGGTTAGACTTTGGGTGTCCATTTTTGGAGTCATGGTAATTACAGTTAAGATCTGTATAATATTTCCTTCCTACCTTTCCTTCCTTCCTTCCTTCCTTCCCTCCTTCCTTCCTTCCTTCCTTCCTTCCTTCCTTCCTTCCTCCCTCCCTCCCTCCCTCCTTTCACTCCCCATCCCCCTCCCCTCCCTCCCTCCCTTCTTCACTTCCTCCCTTCCTTCTTTTCTTTCTCTCTCCTTCCTTCTTTTCTTTCTCTCCCCTCCCTCCCTCCCTCCCTCCCTCCCTCCCTCCCTCCTTCTTTTCTTTCTCTCTCCTTCCTTCTTTTCTTTCTCTCCCCTCCCTCCCTCCCTCCCTCCCTCCCTCCCTCCCTCCCTCCCTCCCTCTCCTTCCTTCCTTCCTTCCTTCCTTCCTTCCTTCCTTCCTTCCTTCCTTCCTTCCTTCCTTCCTTCCTTCAACACAGCTTCACTCTGTCATCCAGGCTGGAGTGCAGTGGTGCAATCTCAGCTCACTGCAACCTCCACCTCCTGGGTTCAAGCAATTCTTGTGCCTCAGCCTCCCAAGTAGCTGGGATTACAGGCATGTGCCACCATGCCCAGTAATTTTTGTATTATTAGTAGAGATGGGGTTTCACCATATTTGCCAGGCTGGTCTTGAACTCCTGACCTCAGGTGATCCGACGGCCTCAGCCTCCCAAAGTGTTGGGATTACAAGCATGAGCCACCATGCCCAACCTTCTTTTTCATCCTCACATATAACCCTTCGAGGTAGGCAGGGAAATTTCTGGCTTTATTTTGATTGTATAAATGAAGAAACACATCAAATCAAAGATACCTAAGTTCCTTTTAAGTTTGAGGTTCCATCTGTGCAGAGCCTTTTCCTAAATTTGTAATGCCAGGTGCCAAGTTTTCTGGAAGTGGTGCAAAAGTTTGTGAACAATGTGGAAATGGCCAGAGAGAACTGGGCAAAGGCCTGGGAATGTCTATTTCTGATGGACGGTGGCACTCTCTCAGTGCTTACCAGCCAGGCCATTTAGGGAGGTGGTGAGAGACTGGGGATTGTAGGAAGGGAAGAATATTGACTTCAACACTGAGGGTCTCTGATGAATCCTGACTAAGCCAAAGCTTTGGATAGCACAGAACTTGCTAAAAGCTTCAATCAGCAGAGGCAGGGGTGATGGAGAGAACAGGAGATGGCATCTGAGGGGCCTCCCAGCACCCTCTCCAAAGATGCTGAGGTGATGAAGGTGATGATGGAGGAGAAAAAGCTATGGATCCTGCAGTTGGGATGACGGAAGTCACAGCCATCGTCTGCTTACCAGTAGTCCCCGAGACTGGCATTTCAGGGGAATCCAGGCTGTAGGTGACATCTAAGAAGGCCCCAGAGGGGATTTGCTGGTTTGCAAAATTTCAGTTTTGTGGGTGAGGGAATCCATTCTGGAGGTTTCATATCCCACTAAGGAGACAGTCCTATCCTTTGCTGCTCTTTTTATGTTCTGGGTGTTTTATTTTTAAGTTTCAAATCTTGGCCTTGAGTTAAGGAATGTCCTTAACTTTCTTGGCATGTGCTGAGGCACAAAAGCAGCAAAGTACAGCCATTGAGAAGGCTAATAAATAAAGGAACCTCAATGCCACAGTCACCTTCCTGTGCATCCCCACAGCACTTCTGGGTCCCGCTCCCCCAGCCCCCTACCAGAAAAGGCCCAGGGCCTTTGCATGCTTGGGTCTGGTGTGGCAGGGATGCATTCAGAGTGGCTGAAAACAGAGGCTGAGGTTGGAGATACCATGGAATGGTATGGAGAGGAGGCTCAGACAATTCCATTTTCTGGAGCACACTCTCTGCAGCTCCCTTTTACATACACTGCTTTTTGAGAACCAAATACTCAATAACACTCACCTCATTCCATGTTCTCCTTTGACTTTGGCCTTGATTCTTTCTTAGTGGATGTGTACCCTAAATCCAACGAATGTATTCTGAATCAAGCAAGAGAGAAACTTCAAATATCCTCTGCAGCCTCTCTGCCCAGCTCAGCCTCCCTTGCTCGCTCTTCCTTCCAGAGACCTCCAAGGACAAGGGCAGGGCTGATCTGACTTCCACGGAGACAGCCTCAGGTGTAAAGCTAAGGATGCTAACTTGGGCCTTTTCCATGGCTGAAAGGAACCTGAGAATTCCAATTAGGCTTAAACTAATGAGCTGGAAACTTTCGGGAAACCACTGCAGCAATGAGGGAAGAGCGTGATCATCTTCGATTTAATTAGCCCTGGAAAAACTTGTGGTCCAGCTGATAGCACGAGGAGGGACGGTGTCCAGGGGTCGCAAAGTTTCCGGAAGTGTCAGAAGGGGGATTCCCCTGGTGGTGTACGGAGACAGGCTACGGAAAAACACGGACTCCTTCTTCATCTTAAGCGCGGAGAAGGGAAGACCCTAAATGGGGAACGGTGAGCCGGAATGAAGTCTGGAGCCCCTCTTCCCCCATCTGTTCTCCTCACAGGATGAATGGAGTCTGAAACTATATGAAAGGAAAGCAACCTTTTAGGGAACTCTGTTGTCTGTTGGGGCCTGCACTATCCCCAGGTCAGGTCGTCCTGATCATCTCTGCCTACTCTCTCTTGGGCAGCCTCTGTTGCTAATAAGGAAAAAGGAGAGAAACCACCTGCTGCTGTCAGAGGCCACAGACTACCCACCGGCCTTCCTGACCCTGCCCTCCAGCCACACGCGGGACACTGGGCACATAGGAAGCAGGGAAAAGAGCGAAGTAGAGGGTGGGTCGCTGTGTATATCCTGGAGTAGGGTCCTCCTCACTTCCGAAGCCCGAAGGTCCTGGGGCGCTCAGTCTGTGGAATCCAGTTGACAGCTGGCACTCCTCCCCTACCCACTGGGGGCTCTTTTGGGAAAAAAAACGGCCTGACCGGGGCGCCCCGCCATCCTCCCCGGGTACCCCACCGCTCTCGGCTGGAGGCGCAGCACCTTGGAGAGAGGCGCCTGGCCCTGCGCCTGGGCTGGGGGCGCTCTACCTGGCGCCCTGGGGGTCAGGGGCGCGTGCCGGGCCGCCGCCGAGGGGCCCTGTCCGCCTCTGCCCAGCCTGGAGCCCAGGCGAGCCAGCGCGACGAGCCTCCTCCCCTCCCGCCTCGGGCGTCCTGAGCCCGCGCCCGCTCCAGTTGCTGCAGCTGCTGCTGCTGGCGGCTGCGGGGAGCGCGGGGCGCGCGCCGAAGAGGCTCGGGCGGCGAGGACGGGGACGAGAAGGAGTCGGAGGCGGCGAGGAGGAAGAGCGAGCGGAGGCCGAGGGGCTCAGCGGCGTGGCGACAGGACTCGGGGGTCCGGGGAGCATGGGCTAGCAGGCGGTCACGGCCCGGCGGCCGGACGCGGTGAACCTGCTGCGGCCGGGCGCGCACTGGGGCGGGGAGCCGGAGCCGAGCGCAGCCGGGAGAGGAGGGCTGGCGCGGGGGCGCCAGGGCGGAGGGGGCCGATTATCCATTATTAACGAGTTGTCGCCTAATAAGCAGAGAGCGGCTCGTTAGCCGCGCAGGAGGCGCGCGGGGAAGGGGGGTCCCCGGCCGAGCGCAGCGCACACCCGTGGCGCACGGCGGGCGGCGCGGCGCCGAGGACACCCGGGCCCGCGCGCGGAGCCGGGGCGGGCCCGGGGGCGGCACAGACCCCGGGCGCGGGAGGCCCGCGGCGCCCCCTGGGTCTTGGAGCTCGGGGCCAGCGCAGCCCGGGGCTAGCGCGGCGCGGGCCGGGGAGGGGGAGCTGCCAGCGCTCTCCATCCCCCTCCCCCCCGGGCGGGCCGGCGGCCGGGGGGAGGGCTGGCGGCGTCGGCTCGCTGTATATATCTCGGCGCACCCCGCCAGGTCGCGCACAGCGCCCCGAGCCCAGGCGCCTCCCCGCCCCCCTCCCGCGCTCCGCGGCGGCGGCGGCGGCAGCAGTAGCAGCAATATGGCTGTTGATGGGTGTTTGGGGTGGCGCTGGCGGCGGGAGGAGCTCCCCCGAGCCCCTGCGCTGGCTGCCCGTTGCTAGCTATGGCAAATGGTGGCGGCGGCGGCGGCGGCAGCAGCGGCGGCGGCGGCGGCGGCGGAGGCAGCAGTCTTAGAATGAGTAGCAATATCCACGCGAACCATCTCAGCCTAGACGCGTCCTCCTCCTCCTCTTCCTCTTCTTCTTCTTCCTCCTCCTCTTCCTCCTCGTCCTCGGTCCACGAGCCCAAGATGGATGCGCTCATCATCCCGGTGACCATGGAGGTGCCGTGCGACAGCCGGGGCCAACGCATGTGGTGGGCTTTCCTGGCCTCCTCCATGGTTACTTTCTTCGGGGGCCTCTTCATCATCTTGCTCTGGCGGACGCTCAAGTACCTGTGGACCGTGTGCTGCCACTGCGGGGGCAAGACCAAGGTAACGCGCGTCCCGGGCGCCCGCCCTCTGCGCCAGCCCCGCCGCTTCTCAGCGTCCCCTGCAGCCCACCTCCTTGCTCCGCGCCGCGCAGTGCCTCCCTCCATCCCCGCCTGCCTTCCCCTCGCCGCCTTCCCTTCCCTCGGCTCTCCCGGTGCTCTCGGATCGGGGCAGCGGGCGGCGCGCCGGGGGTGAGGAGTTGCCCCCAGCCAGTGCGCTCCGGGACACGGACGCCCAATCCTGCCCTCTTGTTTATTGTAGGGTTGTTGGCTGCTGCGGCTGGGGCCGGGGTCGGGGACGCACAGTCTTGGGTGCCGTGGTGCGGGGTGGGGAGAGCCTACGCCTCGGGGACGGAGGGAGCTGGGGGCAGCTGGGTGCGTGTTCTACACCGCTCACCTGCCGGGGCTTGGCTCCTGGCGGTGGGCGAGAGGGAGGACATCCGCCCATACTTTAGGAACCTGTTGGGGAGATGAGTCCGTGGGGTCAGAAAGAAGGGAAAATCCTTTGGGCAAGGGAGAGAATAATTTTGCACAAGGGAATCCCGGGGGAGGAGTGTGGCCCGAGATAGCAGGGGGACTTCGAGGGGCGAGAGAAGTTGGGGAGATCCATCCCAGTATTGGGGGCAGCCCATGGGGCTGCCACTTTCAGAATGTGTTGAGGTCGCATATCTGATGTAACCTCCCACTCCGTCCCTTAGGTGCTCTAGTGGAACAATCCCCAAGTTCTTCGGCCTCTGTTCCTTTGCCCCCAGGCCACCCACTTTGGGTCCCCGGAAATGCCACCAGCAGCGCGGAGCTGGAGCGGGGGTCCACCTGAGGCCGCGGTTTTACGCGGAGCTTCTTCCCTGGCGCTCAAGGTGGCTAGATGTCGTCGGCTTTAGCTATTCCTGGCGCAGACGCCCACCAGCACTGAGGCTGGCGACACCTTCGATGTATGGTTGCTAGGCTCACTGCCTGGTCTGTAGTCGTGTCCCTAGAGATGTCCTCCCTTCCCCACAGCCACTAGCTGGAGTGGGGGGCCCGACACTGTTTAATAGAAAACTGCAGAGTAAAAAAGAAAGAACTGGAAAAAAGAGAGTGACCCAGCTGCCTTCTTTCTGAGTAATTCCCATCCTAGGAGACTTCACAGCACGAACCGTTTTGGAGGGAAGGGACATCCAGGGGAATAGTGCACGGTAGATACACATTGCAGCCTCCACATGTTCACATATTTTCTAGTAAAGTTAAACTGAGGACCCCTCAAACTTCCACAGGGCACAACAACTTGTAGCAGCCTCCTTAGCGGCGGAGAGAAGTAGGGAAGCCAGGGGCTATGGGTGAAGGCTGACTATGAAAACACCAGGGCGAATGGAGGCTCTCTCTCCTGATCATTAATTATACATCCTGTTGGGTGCTGGAGCTCAGCTGTGTTTTGTGGCAGCACATTTGTGTTTTGGAAAATACTGGTGTATTGGAACAAAGGGAGAAATATGAAAACCGTCATTCTCTTCGTCATTCTCTGACTTCTCTGGAGGCCTGCAGGTGTTGGCCAGAGAGTTTTCTTTGGAATTACCTTCTCAGCCGTAGAGGTTCTTTCTCATTTGTTAAGGAGGAAAACCTCCCACCTGCCAGAGAAGCCCTCAGGTTAAGCAAAGCCCTATACACCAGATCCCTGCCTAGCCTTCCTGCTGAGAACAGCTTATTCCTGGAGCCTTCAAATTCCCACATTCCCTCTCTCCATCCTTCTCCGCCTCCCCCAACAGTCTCGGGAATTTTGTTCCCCAGTTTACTGCGATTCAGCGACTGTCTTTAGGGGAAAGATAGCTCACAGTTGTGTGTGTCTGAAATGTTCCCTAGATGGAGTGATCTGGGTGAACTTTTTAACAGCTTGCTTTCTTTCAGGCAGTGGGCAATTTTGATCATAATGAAAACTTTTTCAATGATTCAAAATAAGTTGTGGTGTTTTTGTGATCCTGGGGTCCTAAACACAGCTTTCAAAATATTTTTACGCTAGGGAGTACATAAATGCAATTGCTGCATCTGTAATGAAATGCTAATCCCATTGCACACACAAAGGATCTCCTAAATGATGAGCAAGCATAACTTCTGTCAGTTTACTCCAGAAAATAGGTTTTTGGCAACGATTAGAAAAAACAATTCATAAATATTTGGCTATATTTTGTAGCTCCAAGACCTGCTGAGTGGACATAAATGGAAGTTAGTTGCTATAAGAAGTCCGCCAGGGATGAGAGGTGATGGTGGTTGGTTCGGAAGATGTGAGGACAGTATAGAATGAGTGCAGGTTCCTTTTGATACCATAAGTCCATTTTAAAGCATGCCCAGAATCTCTTGATGTCTGCCCCTAGATTCACTCACTTAAGACATAGGTAGCCAGCTCATTATAAGCAATAATGGTAAGTTAAACCTTTTAAAAGCTTTTCTTTCTATGCTCGAGGTCTGTAATTTTATTGCAATTGTGTGTGTGCTTTTGTCTTTTGTTCTTTTTGCTTTCCAAGTATTTGGTAGTTTTGTCAAGACTCAATACACAGGCATGTATTGGCTTAAGTTTAGAATAATAATTTTTGTGCTAGATTTCCCAAGAAAACATAGGCTGCCTTTCCAGAAAATTCTACCAGCCCTCAGATGGGTTCACCCTCACCATCCTTCCGCCCCAAGATGATTTGATCAAGAGCTGGATTCCAGAGGAAAGCAGGTCTTTTGTAGCATCTAAAATTCTATGGGAGATAAAATTCAGCAAGGACCTCCAATTTCATGAGTGTTTGGTCTCTGGGATTGCACCATCCTTTTGGATCAAAGGAATCCAAGACTGTGGACATGCATCGTGGGACATCTCTTCATTAGTACCTCTGGTCTCTGAATCTCAAATAGTGAATGACTTTAGTCTTTTGAAAAGAGTGGCATGTGAACTTTTTCAGAAAGTGAAGAAGAAAACATTATAATTTCCTCCTGTTGGGAACTTGGTCACAGTCATTCCAGTACTGTGTTCTTTGCTGTACTTTTTCACATTGTTTTTTTCTTTGTGGGATTTCATCAGAGCTCTCTATTCACTTGGGTGTGACATTGTGAAGTTCAATCCTGTCGTAGACTATATCGAATAGGGAGCTGCTCTGATAGCCTGAATAAAGCCATGACTTTGAAGAAGTTATTTAACCTCTCTGGTGTCTCTCTTTCCTTATGTATAAAATGTGGGGATTGAATTCTGTGAGTTCTAATGTCTCTTCCTGCTCTGTGATTTGATTTAGGAGAGAGGGAGAGTTGAGGAATGAAGGTTAAAGTTTCTAGCTCAGAATGTGTTTTGCAATCCCCCAGCAATTCTTCTAGGAATTCAGCCTTGGGACAGTTACATATCTTTATTTCCATCTTCTGCTCGTCTTCCAGCATATGGTCCACTTCTCTTTAAATATCTGGGGAAACTGAGGCCAACTTCCTGATGGAGCTGTGGTTTGCTGAGGGGCCTGAGTGTGGCTGGGCATAGAGTTATTTCTATTCTCAGTTTGAGCTGCTGTCCTTGCAGAAGCTTGGGCTTGATCAAGGATGGTCTGCGTGTAATGAATTATCGAGATGTTGTCTCCATGGCTGTGCCTGAGAAAACAACACGTTTTCTCTGTCAGGCTCGTGACTAATATAAATATCAGATCCCATTACAGCTTGGTAATTACCCAGGGTCTGGCCTGACGCATTCAATCAGGGCTGGAGCTTCGGTGCCGTGGAGCTCTTGATTCCAGATTGGCCCTGGTGCCTCATCTCATCCTGTCCTGGGGATTGGCTGTACCGGATGACCTTCAGATACTCCTTTTTGAGCAGATTACTTGGGGTGGCCTTGGAGGAGTTCTCGGGTTCCAGTCATGGGGGAGCTCCAGCTGGCCGCCCTTGTCCAGAGAGCTTGTGCTCCTCATTCCTGGCTCTTTCTCCTTTTTTCTTTATTTTCTTGAGACTGAGTCTTGCTCTGTTGCCCAGGCTGGAGTGCAGTGGCATGATCTCGGCTCACTGCAGCCTCCGCCTCCTGGGTTCAAGCAATTCTCCTGGCTTAGCCTCCCAAGTAACTGGGACTACAGGCATATGCTGCCACACCCGGCTAATTTTTGTATTTTTAGTAGAGATGGGGTTTTACCACATTGGCCAGGATGGTCTTGATCTCCTGACCTTGTGATCTGCTCACCTTGGCCTCCCAAAGTGCTGGGATTACAGGCGTGAGGCACTGCGTCCAGCCCCTGGCCCTTTTTATGGAAATGCACATTTTAGTACAAGACTCTGCAATCGGACAAACCCAAGTTCAAATCGTGGATCCCACATTTATTAGCAGGGCATCTTTGACTGCCAACCGTGTTGAGCTTTGATTACTTCACCCATACCAAGAGCATACTGATGCTTACTTTGTAGGGTTCTTATAGGGAGCAGGAATAATGGGCATATAGCACCCTGCAAATGCCAGGCACTTAGCAGGGCTCTTGTAAGTGGTAACTATCATAGCTTCATGAAGTGCTGAATTTATTTTCCCTTTGATTCATTGAACTTTTAGCCCCTGAAGGGCGCAGACTATAACAAATACAATTTTTGGGCCAAAAGGAGCCTTCAGATCCTGAAGTATACTGTCATAGGTCCAAAAACCAGTTAGAGTAAGACTGAGACATGGGCTTATCGCTCTTGGCTGTTGCAAGGCTAGAAGGTTAAAGCAGGGCAGCAGAGGTAGGCTCCATCGATGAGGTCCTGGCAGGATGGTTACAGTTTTGATGGTGGGGTATCAGCGGATGAACATTGACAGTATGGGGGACCAGGAGCTGCCGGGCTGGCAGAAGGGGAACACTGTGGCGTTTGGTGGGCAGTTGTGGTTGTCCAGCATTGTACCCTTGAGGAGGGAAAAATTCCACCCTGTTATCCCAAGTCCAGAACACATAGACCTGTCTCCCAAGTGATGTCACAGTCTCTTGGCCAGGACACTCACTGTCTACCCAGACCAGCTTTTCCAAGACACCCCCTAGGCCAGTGTTTCCCAAAGTGTGTCCT